AAACGTGCAAGGGGTCGGCGACGAAAGGGGCGGGCGAGAGCCGAGCGGCGCGCGTGACAGAACGAGACGAGCGTTTGTGCGGCGGTGAAGGAGAAAGAGGTTTCCCCAATCCCCCCCGCCGAGCAGAAGACAGTGGCCGCCATTTTTCTTCTGACATTGCCATAGCTGCTGCGGCCTCGCGCTGTGCTGTCCGTCGCGGTGATATCAGTGTATCTTTCTCTCTCTTTCTCTCCCCCCCTCTCTTTCTCGTTGGAGGGTGAACCCCGACGACGACGGTAACGAGGAGAAGGAGAGGCAGAGGCAGAAGAAGAAGGAGGAGGAGGAGGTGGAGAAGGGAGCGACAACGACGACGGGTCGGCGACGACGGCGACGGCGACGGCGGCGACGGCACCCGGACGGTCTCCGTGTGTAGTGCGCATTAAGATAAAAGCCGAGCGCGAAGATAACGATAAGACCGACGATCGAACGTCAGCGATAGATCGCGACTGCTCCGTCATCATCGGCAACGGCAACGGCAGCGGCGACAGCGGCGGAGGAAGAGGCGGAGGAGGAGGAGGAAGAAGAAGAAGAAGAAGAAGAAGAGGAGGAGGTGGAGCAACAGCAGCGGCGGCAGCAGCAGCAGCAGTAGCAGCGGCAGCGGCGGTGTGACGAGTGTGCTCTCGCGCCGCGAAATCGCGACGATCCGATCGTCAGCCGCGCACGATAAGAGCGACGGGGTAATTGGTCCTAGCGACTCGCGGTTGACGGACCGGCGGACGACCGCGGGGGGAATCGCGGCGGTAACGACGAGGACGAGGAGGACGACCGTCACCGCGCGTCGGCAGAGGCGGCAGGTCGCTCGTCCAGGTGCCCGTGTAGGTCCCTCGCGACGACCACGGGGAGGCGGGGCATCGCCGCTGGTGCTCGCCGCTGGTGCTAATCGCATCGCCGTGTCGCACGGTGCACACGGTCACGCGCCACCGCGTACGTCGGCAGCAGCGCCACCGGGATGGAGAGGCGAGCCGCTTTCGTGCTGCTGGGGATGCTATATTTAGCGGTGGGCACCCTCGTCGTCACGGTCCAGGCAGGTGAGTACCTCCACCTCCCTCTTCTCTCTCCCTTCCCCTCGTCGACAGGCAGCGCGCCGAGTCCGCCTCGCGCGCGGCTTTCCCTTCGACGCTCCTCGAGCCGCTCCGTTACGACCCGCGTTCGCGCACACGACGGCCGTTTCGCGTTTCCTCTTTTCCCCTCTCCTCAACTCCCGGTGCGCCGTCATCGTCGGGGTCGTCGTCGTCGCTCCTGCACGCGTCTTCCCGATCTCGCCGTCCCCGGACTCGGGACTCCCCCGGGACGACGAGGACGACGGAAAAGCCTCCCCCTGGAGCGCGGATTCCGCCGCGGTCGATAACGAACGCCGCTCGCGTCGCGGCCGACGCTAATTGAATCGGTTGGAGCGGGTGACATGCGACTCGAGAAAAGCGCGAGAAACCGCTTCACGAGCGATACCAATCTCTCGTGTCGCTTTGCGCCCTGAAGAGAGGGTCCCCTCGGAGTATGTTTTCATTTAAAGAGAGAGTTTCAAACGGACGCACCTGTCCCGCGTGGAGCAAGGATCCCGAGGATCCTCAGTTTCGCCCGAGAAATTGACGCTCGCGGTGACCGACGAACGTAAGCCCGGCTGCGCGCGCGAGACTCGCTCCGGTCGCGAAAACTTGCCAATTCGCTCGGATCTGCCGTCGCGGAGACACCTCGTCGAGGCCCGAGTCGCAATTTTGGTACTATTTGGACACTTTTAAGGCTAATTTACACCTACTTAGCTGATCTATACGCCCACATAGACCAGCAATAACCCACTTTGATGACATTGCATTTCTTCACTCCTCCCTTGAATCTTTAATTCTAAAAATTTACTTTAGCTCCTACCTAAAAGGACCCACTTTAATGCTAAATTGTCAAAAGTAGACATTTCCGACACTGTCAATTTTTAAGTAGGAGTAAATTTTGTACTTGCAGTTCGTCCTCTTTTACTGTCTCGGGTCCTACACTGATAAAAAAAATATCTTGATCCAAAAAACATTACTTTACTCAAGAAAATTATTCATTAGGTAGCCCCTAGTAGCTTATTAACTTAAATTAAAAAAATAAACAAATTAAAACATTTCTTTAATTTATTAAATATCACACAGTAGATAATTTTAAATTTAAAAAATTTTACTTTAATTCTATAAAGTGTTTACTAAGATATAAGTTTTACAGCGAAGAAAATTGGATTTCTTATTTGACAAAGACAATTATTTCATTTAATAAACAGTATTCTCTATCTCATGAAGTCTTTAGTTGAATGTAGAAAGTGTAAAGATTTAAATTAATTTATTTAAATTAATTTATTTAATATAATATTTATCTTTTTATTTAAATAGAATAAATAGTCACTTCAGTAAAAAGAGAATAATTTTAAGTAAATCTATTTACTTAGTGTTAGTTCTAAAAAATTTTTTGTCATTGTACTATATGTATAATAGAATTAAAGGTTCAACACAGGGCCAAAATTTTGACTCGGGGGGGGGGGTGTAAACTACTGGAGGGCATTACCAGGAATTTTTGGGCATTAGTGGTTGTCATTTTGGGCTTTGCTGGAGCATTGTAAAGAATCTAAAAAGAATAAAAAAGATAAGATGAGTAAAATGCCCACGGGACATTAGTAGGCCTCTCTTAGGCCCATAGTCGTTTCTCAATTCTGGTCTCAAGAGTTTGTCAGGTGAGACACTCATATTGGAGTTTCGTGTCTTGAGATACGGACGGTCCAATAGTTACATTTTGATTAAAGCTCAACTGAGACTGTACTCGGCTGAAAAGGGGACCGACTACTCACCCGAAATTCGTCTCGAGAGTCGAAGCTTCGATTAGAGCGGCGATACGCAATGACTGATGCGCAATTTTTCTCAAATCTCAGATGGTACGAAATACAAAAGCTATTTTCTGAAACCTCCTTTGAGAATCTCTGTTGAATCGAGGTTACAAATCAAATTGAGTCTCAAGATTCATCTATTAAACGGCATCGTGTCTCGAGACTGGTTTTAGCTAAATTTTTCAGCAGAATCGCGACTAAAGTACGGGCCTAAAGGTCAATCAGTGGATTATCACTGAAAATAATGAATATTCACCGATTCACTGAATTATTCAGTGCTTATAACTGTTCTCGCTGATAACGCACTGATTGACTTTTAGAGAGTGTACATGATTTTGGTCAGCGGTTTACCCCTCGCGCGCCTCGTCCGGCCACGCTTTTACCCCGGTTTCGCGCGACGGTCCTGTCGGAGGCTGCGAGACACGTCGAGTGCCCCGCGGTTCGTCGACGAGAGAAGTTGACCGCGCGGCTAAAACGATCGAGTCGCGACTTTTCTGCGAGAGCAGAATTCGCGCAGACGTTCACTCTCGCGGATAAATTGAAGAACCTAGGGTTCGCGCATCGCCGCGCGATGAAAATCTCCCGTCGGCGAACCGGGGCTGGGGAGGGGGAGGGTGAACCAAATCGAAGAATCCAGCGCCTGGAGTAACGTTCGACGTCGCTTTTTGATAACGGCCGTCCCTCATCGATTGGGACGGCTTGTGCGTCGAGGCGCTTTTCGTGGCACGCGGTGGACCTGAAATTTGCCCCCGAACCCTCCCCCCCCCTCCCCCGAGGACGGCGCCGCGTCCGATTGACCCTCGCGACGGCGGCTCTTCGAGACCCTGGCTCGCGCCGGCAAGACGGGGTTTAATTAAACCCGAGTCAACGATTCGCCCCGTCGCCTCTCGGCCCGCGGTCGTAACACGAACGAGGGTAATACGTTATTAATCGTGCCAAGGTGATGAGGCAGCGACGTTTAAAGGTCAAAGGTGCTTAAACGCGCGCCTCGGGGCCGTGAAATCGGAGCTACGCTGCTCGGACGGGGTAAGACCATCCCCCGATCCCTCCGAGAACCGCCTCTCCTCCCCGTTTCTCTCTCCGTTTCGATCGACGACTCTATCTCGGACGCTTCTCTGTCCGAGAAGTCGAGTCGAATCGAGCCCGTCGAGGGAGACGAGGCTTTTGTGCCGCTCGGGATTAAACACGGCCGGCCGCCGTCATCGATCGTTATTCTCCCATTTCACTCATCCGGACCTCGCGCGATAGACGAAACGGAAGAGGCGGAGACGCGCGGAACGAGAGGGCACCCGGGCCTATATGCGGTTCTAGATACGAAAATGGAACATCTCGGGCGGCCGCGCGTCTCTATCGAGCGCGACGCGTGGATTATAGCTCGCGTTTAATCCGAAGACCAGCGTGTTATACGCGCGGAACGAACGCGGAGGGAAGCCGCCTCCTCGCTATCTCGAGTGCGCTTTATTACGGCCGCATCTATCGTCTTGCCCGCAGATTAGATTGATGCTCGCGCCCGACGATAAAAACCGCGCGATTCCCGTGCGTAGCTCTCGATACCCGATACAGATTCGATTGCTTGGAGCGAAATTCTTAAAGGTGCCGAGGATTTTGCGTACGCTGTGAAAAAATTACATGTTAAATTACAACTATTATAGTGGGTAATATTGGGACCATCTGTTAAAGGTGTATTTTTACATACACGGGAGAAAAAATGCCGTTGAATTAAGCAAAATGTAGTTGCTTGAATTGAACGTTAACGTCACAGGCTGCCACAAACGTAAATAATTCACTCCATTGTATTTGCTATGGATTTTAATTTTAAGCATTGAACTAAATATCCAGACGATTAAGACAACAATCTGATGTTTTTCATTTATTAATACTGATTTTGTTTCCACGATTTTATTTCAATTACACTGATTATCTTGATACATCATTTTCTTTTTTCCGTGTACACTTCGGTAAATTTGCATACCTTCTAGGTAAAATTATTATCTTACATAATAAGTAAAGTGCTTGCTTTTATTGTGTAAATTTTACAATTTTTTGTACTTTTTGTCATGTGTAAACAAATGCACGGAGAGAATTTATTAAAATTTATCATGTGATCGTGGGACAACGTGGCATTTTGAAGAATTTTACGAGTGTTTTTTGAAATTTTACCATACATTTACCGTACATTTTACTTGTAGAATGTACAATAAAATTTGTGAAAACTCTCATAAAATTCTTGAAAATGCCACGTTGTCCCACGATTACATGATTTTCAGGGTAAATTTTAAGAGAAATTTCTCTGTGTGTATTTACGCAACAAAGAGTAAAAAGAATTTCTTGTAAAAGTACATAACTTAAAACTTTATATATTTCCGTTATTAATAATGTAATCGCTACACTTATCATGTATGTAATGTTACATACTTTCTTTACAATGTGTACACAGCTGTGGTGGCGCGTCGCCTCCTGTAATGCGAGCGCGGATTCGAAATAACTGTAAAATGACGAGCGTAAAAACAGATTTGACATCTCTCGGGCCTCGCTGTTAAGAATTTTTTTATAGAAACGTTATTTTTGTCCATTTTGACCTTATTCCGTTTTTATCGCAGTAAACATTATTCTGCGGCCTTAACTTGTTACCTTCTTAAGTAAATAATTGGCTAAAGAATGTTATCTATATAAAAAATATTTTCATAAAAAATATTTGTATTAATTTCCTAAGAAATTTCCTATCGGAAATGTTATCAGGGGGTCAATTCTGTGTCTTACGATACAGCGAAAATGCTAGAAGCGAGCGGCTTTGTTCTAAGAGGACGGTTAGAAAGAGACAAAGCTATTCACATTTAACATTTTCATTATAGTACACGGTACAGAATTGACCCCCAGGTTCTGTGTGGAAACACTACTTTTATCAAGACGGGAAGTATACTTGATGTTTTTTTTTAAATATCTTTTTAGGCGGATTTAATCTCTCTGGTTTCATTGTTAATAATACTCTCGTGATATTGTTTCTGTTAAATGCACACACTTTGCAAGTGTGAGTTAAAAGAAAAGGTAGAAATTAGCATTTGCGTACACTGAGAAAAATGTCCGATTAAATATAATCTAATCACATAATAACAAACGGATATATCCGATTAAACTGTATATCCGTTGAAAAATGCGATCGGTTTTTCAATCAAATTCCAT